TACCGTGGTGCAATGGTTTGCGTGCTTCAACCACCAATTGAGCTGTGATGGGTAGTCGTTCTTGCATCTTCAAAGCCGGTCATACCAGCTTGGTCAATGGTCACAGGCCAGACCAACGCATCCTCCTGGTTCTCCAGGTTTGCAGTTGCAGTGAGGGTGGCTCTTTATTCCTTAAAACAGATTGTAGCCAGCTGCCAAACCCATTGCCTTATAGTCAGGTTTTTGAACCAAAGGCTTTGGTTGAGAATCCTAATCGTTCTCCTTTCTAGGTCTGGGCACCCTGACAATGCGCTGCCCACTTAATGCAATAAACTACAAACATTTTATTAATGCTACGTCCGTTACAGAGGATAGTCAACAGCACCCTATCTGCTGCATTGATCAGGGTGGATAGGGGTTTGGATACTACTGCTCATGTCTTCCCCACTTCCTATTCCCCCTCTTACTCTTTTTCACCCTTATCGTCCCGTTCCAACTGCACTTTCATCCCCCCGCTTTAACCCCCTCAATTATTGTCCTTTCTCCACCTTGTTTGGTAGGTGTTTGTTTTACATTTTTAGCTCGCATGGAAACGCTGAGCGTCACCCCTGCTCTGTCGACAAGCTCATGTCTAAGCGGTGCGGAAACTGCACCCTTTATAGCTCAACGTCTTCAAGACTGAATGCCAGTTACGTTCGTATCGTACCTTGTTTACCAGTTTACTTACACCTGTGTTGCCAAGTAACTCTGACATACGGCCTGGCGTCTGTCGGTACGGATGACTGAGTAGTTTTTAGAGCCACTGTGAAGAGGCACGCTCAGAAGCATTAACAGGTCCATCTTGGAACATTTGCTTTAAAGTGGGCGTAAAATTTTGACCATAGATGCCTTCAAGGTCTACTATGCCGTACCGAAGCGATACTCGAAGGAGTTGAGGAAACGCCTCTTGCAGACGGCTGAAGCGATCGAGATCAGGCTAACACAGCCAGAGCTTTGCAAGCATAGGGTGATTGTGCAACCTTTGACTTTGCTATGGCCCTGACGAGAAGTTGTTCCCCGAAGTATTGCTCAAAACCGAGTGTTGTTTATTTGTATGTTTACTTGGTATTTTTTACCCCTTCTGGTTACACGTTATTTTGCTGCACACGTCTGTTAGTCCTGTCACAACGTCACCTGATTGAATCGATTTGAGCATCGAACGAACGTGCTAAATCTGTTCAAGCCATACCACCCGTCCTCATTTTGCCTTCACCAACCTACTGTTGCCTGTATTTGCCTGATATGAGTTACCGGAAAGACTCTTTGCAACCCTATGTTTCAGGTGCAAAGACCCAGTTCATCGGCTTCTATTTCTAGCCCGCTATTCTCCCTCAGATTGGCATGCTCCTTTGTACGCACAGGTTAGTCAACAAGCAGCACCTGCTCGAGCATTAGATTCCGTCTCGATCGCTGTGTGCTGTTTATCGAGCTCTGTGTTTACTCCGCGACCCCCTTCAAGTGACACTAGCAGTGTTTTCTCACAGCGTCTCTCCGGAAATGATGTAGTAGGCAAAGCCGGTGTTGGTATTGCCCTGAGTTCTTCGGCTGAAGCTACCCTGGTTGATTGGACCCCAATCAGTAGCCGGATGTATGTCATCCGACTGGTTGACTCGGTCAGAGCTTCGAAGTCGCCCGGGGCTAATAACTACCTGTTTGTTACTACTGCCTGCGTGCCCACAAACTTTAGCGCTGACTTGTTGAAATACAACTCCTATCGCTTACTAAAACAGCTCTGTCGTCACAGAAGGATCACGGATCCTGTAGTGCTGGCTGGGGATCTGAACGGTCAAGCTAGAAAGTTGTCCACTGATGAGCTGCATCTGGTTGACCAACATGATATAGGCTCCCGTAATGATAATGGTGAACGCTTACTTCATTTGTGTGGAGATGCTCGTTTATTTATTGCTAGCACTAACTTTTGACATAGCGCCCGCCCAAGGGTACCATGGCGCCACCAGCCTTGGATCAGCTGTGGACGCAAATCGGTCGAATCGCGATCAGTTACGGCTGGAGAGGCTGCGTCCAAAACTACCACTCGATTTGGAACACATGTGTCTGATACTGCTGAGTAGCAGACGAGCGCATCGGTTCAGACAGAGAGGAAAAGGCCTGATTCATAAGTCTTTATTCATCAGAGGATCAGTGTATGTGAGCCATAAAGCAAAAGACAGAATGTATAAAAAACGATACAAGCATAGCAAATGCATGACAAACATACGACATTGTCATAACCTTCTCCTCTATGTAACAAGGATTGTGATGCGCAAACAATTCATTGTGTTACGCAACACGGTTGCGTTCGGGGGGTGTGAGTGATTTCAATTGATGAGTTGGAAGATGCGGATGGACTGAAAAGACTCCGATGTTTTTGCATTAGTTGGTTCCACAGGTTCGTTTGCGAATTCTGTTCTGTCATGAATGCCATTCGGAACACGTTTGATACCCGCGAAAAGCCAGATGCTGCAGCGAGAACGTTTCCCACCTCCGGAGGTTAAGTGCACATGAGCATAAAACGGATTGCGCTCTAGTAATTCCACCTTCTCCACAGCAGGAGGCTCTGCAGTTCTTTTTCAAAGTACCGGACCTGGTGACATCAACCAATTTGACGAGGTACCAGTGGTTGACGTGCGATTAAATGAAAACATCCGTTCGTGTGGAGTGGTATTGGTAGCGGTGCATAACAACGATCGGACGGAATGGGGTGCAGCTAGAAATAGTATTTCCCAGCGGATACTGGAGAGACCTTTCTAGTTCAAATTTAACATGATTGCCTTCCGCAAGGTTGCATTAAAACGCTGTATTTGAGCGCTGCCTTGCTCATGGTAGACTGGTGGAGGAATGTCTTCAGTTCGTCGAGCATAAACGAAGCTTCTCGACCGGAGTGTTGATACGACTTAATTCCGAACAGCGAAAAAACGTGAGCCAACCAGCGGATGACTGTATGTGAGAACATATCTGGGCAAGGGATTGCGAATGGGAATCGAGAATGCTCGTAAATTCTTGTTAACAAGAATCGGTTGTGTGACGTGGACGTAATGGGACCTCTAACTTCTATGCCAAGCCTCTCTAATGGAGATGTGGCTTTAATTAGTTTGCCATTCGGTGGTTTGTAAAAGCGACGCTTCAATCCGGCGCACTACTTGCACCTTGAGATGACAGACTTGACGTCTTCAACGGAAAAAGGAAGACTTGGTACGCCCGAAATGGTATAGCCGTTTAACTCCAATGTAACACAACTGGTCATGCAGTTTGTCTACATCAGCGGAAATCATAGAAGTAGCGAAACTGGTCCTTGATAACACATGGGCTGCGAAGTTCTTCCCTAAACGATAGGTAATGTCGAATTTAAAAGAGGACAACACCATACGCCACCGCTTAGTTTTGTCATTTATCTAGGGGCTGCCACAATGGCATGGGCTTCTTTTTCTATTACCGAATGGCTCCTCAATCACCGACAAGCATCTCGAGGAAAGCGCCACCGGCCTACCGCTTTGGTTCATTGTTGTTGTAATGGCAACGTCATGAGCATCCGTTTCCTCGACCAAAGGATTTTCTGGAATTTCGTGAACAGCGCTGCTTTCTCCAGCCCCTTCCTTCAAGGCGTCAAAAGTTATGTTGCGAATACAATGATTTATATCAGAGAAAACAGGAATTCATTGGGAATAATAAGCCAACATCCTGACGATTCGCTGTTGAGACTTCCGGTCTTGCACCACCATCATCATTATACACGTCAGCTAGAGGTGTAAAACACCTCAGCTACTGTGCCGCAATACATAAAGGAAAAGAAAAATAAATACAACAGTTGCATGCCAGCTGAATCGATCGGAGTGCGGCCTGAGGATACTTCGACTCCCGAGACAGTAATTTCCTACACTTTGACAATACTTTCATTCTGGTCCATACTTTTGTATTTTAGACAGTAACGGCTCGAAATTGCAGTCATGTTTTTCCTGGTTCTCCGCAAATTATGTTATCTCCATACCCAAAGGTAGTAGACTGCTGTTCGCGTTCAATAAGGCTAATTATGGCTCTTTGAAAATACGCCGCATTGTTCGTAACTCTGAGGGGAATGCGACAATACAAGCAAAGCAAGTGCAGGCGAAACGTACGACAAAGTCATAACAGTGTGGACACTTATCCTGATACTGTGGTGCAAGATACGTGGCGCCTTTCTCGTAGGATTCGAAGTGTTCCGAAGTGTTTTGCAGTCTTCTTACAGCTCCATCATGTTGCACCCCTTAGAGTGCGGTGTCAGACTCGGAAAACGTCTTCTCCCGCGGATTCTGGAAGCATATCCTATCTATCGCGAAGACTATCTATATCCGCCACCTCAAGCCTTAGTTGTGTGTACAAAACAATTTGTACGCCCCTGACTTCTATCATGGCCTACAACCCGCTGCACGATTCTACGATTTTTGTCCCAGTTAATCTTTGGTTGTGAAAGATATTTACCCTCGTACCTTATCTGCTGTCTTCAGTGACTGCATGATTTCTGTTCATTTCCATTGAAATTAAACTTTATGATCAATACGCAGTCCTATCCAGCACATTTATCATGTAATCGTCATCATGTAAAGTCTGAGGATAGTTACCGTAAGAGTTCCATACTCGTTGTCTGTCTTCTTTCGATTTATTCCCTTAACCTATTGTCTACTTTTCCGATGTGAGTACTCTGGTAACCAATTGAGCACTGTAGTCGTTTCGAAATCCGGACGCAACTTACCTTTTCAAGCGCTTCTGGATGCGAATATAAAGTACATCACTTTCCAGTATGTTTTCCACGTTTAGGACAAGACGACTGGCGTTTAGACCACTTGTCCAGTTATTCTTTTCGTTGAGTGTGGATAGTCAAATAAGCCACTTTTATCTTGTTTTTGCTTCTTCCGCATCGAATTTCACACCGATGCATGATGTGAACAGTGATCCGCATTCACTCATTACGGACACCTTACGGGCACCTTCTTTGGCTACTTTTACAGGATATAATGGTGTTAATCATGGAATAGAACTGAGCGCCGCCAACGTGGATTTCGCCAAGCGCCGACTACAAACATTCCTAGCTCAGTCAGATGCACCGTTGGAGCGCGACTTTTGCGTGCCGCATTTCGTACATGGGAATATTTTCGAATTAGTTTCTCCACCTCTTCGAACTCCCCTTTACTTTCACGACTCACTCCGCGGAGATACTGGTGGTGAGTCTAGTGAGGAAGATGGAAATGATATGGGCAATGGGGAGCAGCAAATGGCCTCTACTGAGGGCGACTCATACGAAAATGCAAATGGAGCCCCCTTGGATTCTTCGTTGGAAGAAGCGGTCTGCAGTACGAACCACAACCAGGCAGATGGCGATTGTCACAGCAATGGTATGAACATGGATCCACCTCCTTCAGTGGATACAACTCGAGGTGCGTTAACGGAATTTGTGAAGTTAGTCGGCCGCTGTGCATATTTTCTGTTGCTGGACATCGTTCGTGACATCCGTCCTCATTCCCTTTCAGCAATCTCAGACCAGCTACTCTCGTGGCCACTATACGATCGAATTTATGTCGGTGCAGCTATACGAAACCGGGCACATTTGCAGTGTATTTTAAGACTTTTGAACATTGGTGGAGTACTCATCGCCCCCGTGCAAGACGAGGTAGGTGACTGCGTTATGTATCGAGACCGCATGTGTGTTCTCTCTTCTACCATAACTCTCTGCGGTATTGTAGCTTAATTTTCCATTTTCGTTTTTTACTGAATACTTGAACACAGTTGTTGTGGCACTCTTGTCCCCGGTTCTCGCATACGCCATTTCCAGTACTTCACATTAATGACAACTGCCTGTGGCGCGACTGTGCTCTCAAGCCACATAAATCGCATATTGGCTTTCCTATCCGCTTAAACTAAAGTATAATTCCACTTATGGCATTGCTGTGATTAGTGGATTATTTTTATTCCTTTCATTTCAATGCCTGTTGCTCCGTTTTCCTGTCTTACCGTCACTATGCCACAAACATGTGCCTTGATCATGTGATCCTCTCTACTCCTATGGACACAATAAAGGCGTACCTCTCCATACAGCACTCATTGTGATTGGTAACCATCTCCATAATCACCCATGAGCGAAGTTATCCAAAATACTCATTCAAGGTGAATTTCTTGCTCTCGTTGTACCTGCAGGTACGGTTGACAACTGGGGCAAGCTCATGAGGTCAGCTATGGAGCTGCCAGGGGTCAGCTGCTATGGCTAATCTTAGCAGTAATTCTGGTGGAATACTTCCAATTTATCCTTCCCGATTGTTTTCTATCTGAGGACTATTGTGGTGTTCTTACTGGAGCTGCATCACACAGTTTTGCTTAGGCTTGGGCCTTTGGGTTACAAGCATTGAGGCCTAGGCACATGCGCATCGTATCAGTGAATGATTTTAAAATTTTTTGCTTGTTCCGTTATAATATCGTCTAGTTAACCGGCCATTTACTCATTCCTATTATAACGAAGCATTAGCACTTTCTTTTGATGTGTCAGGCGTCTAATAATTTGCTTGCAGATTTTTTCTTCGCCCACTTCATTGTCGAATTTATTTCTCGTGTAATGCAGCATCATACACGCTTTGACCAGGTGACCTGATCAGGAGATGACGGCGCGCATGCAGTTGGCACCGGGTTCAAACCATTCATTTTATATCATGATCTGGTTGTGATGGGGTTCCCTTTCATTAGGTCGGTGGTTGCTTCTTCGATCAGCGACAGAGTATATAAAACTATCTCTTTCGGTTAGCGTTGAACAAGTATATTTAGCACATGCGCATTCCAAATGGGCACATTCGTTTTTGTTTGTTAGTTTAACCGCACTCTTCCAACCACTACGGCCTGGTGTTCGCGCTGCTGTCCCGGACGCGTGCTCGCATCTTTCAAAAATACCCCCTTCGTACACAAGGTGTGCATAGATACGCACGTATAGAAATTATTTTCAAATTTTGTTTACAAATGTACACATGGTCTCGCACAACTGTTTATGTTAAGAGATCTAATACGTCACTATAAACACAAACTGTATTCTTCTGAGTCCAAATTCCTTACCTGTGTACCTAGGCGATAGTAATGAGATGTTCCATAGACAACCGTCAGGACAAGCGCTGCTGCAGCATCCGGAGTGAGCTCATCTTAGTGACAGTTTTTATGCACAACGCCCACGGCGCCTGTACCAACCACACGGAGCCTTTAACTTAAATCTGGTGGGACTAACTTACGAACTGCCATCTTCCTCCACTGTCCTATCATGGAACAGGAATTCCATATGTTTTCGACCAGAGGGAATGCATCTCTTTTCTTTTCACATCACAAAAGTGGCCACAACAGCATCATCTTGAATCGAATGTAGCCATTCACCTAGATTTTCATCCACAATCGACCTGGTAAAACACCCTTTTATTCGATACACTTGCGCACATGTGTTCTCTTTGTAATAATAATGTTACTCCCACTCTAAATTTTGACAGGACCAGGTACAGCCCGTTGTAGAGTAGTAGGGTGTTTTACTACTATAGCTGAGCAGGCGTGAGTTATTATAGGTTTGAGCAATAAAGTTCACGTCCATCAGCAGGGGCAACTATGTGTGTGGCGTGTCGAACAGCCATGAATAGTGGAGCATGGGTTTATGACTAAACCATAACCTAGTCATAAGCCCACAACTGTGTACGGTAACACGAATGGCCATCACAGTTGATACTTCGACGATGCTGTATCGTGTATCAATCGGCTTCCACTTGGGGGAAGTCGCCACTTCTCTACCACATTTTTCCATATGATTTAAGTTCCACTTAGTGTTTCCAGGCGGACAGCAGCGAAACACATGACACATTGACTATTGCATGGGTATGTAGTGTTGTAAAGATACAGTGACGAAACCGTTTGAAAATGTCTTAGCTTAACACTTGGCGGGAATACATTAGTATTTTTGAAGCCGTGCAAAATATGGATGAAAATTCGAACAACTAAGATTGGTACATCGCAACAGTTAGTAAGCCTAACCAGTGCCTCTGCACAGGGACAGTTAGTTAGTTCGGATCCTTTTACATCTAACTGTACGCAGAAGCTATTAAATGTGTAAATAAATGGTCGTTCTCGGCATTGCGAGACACGCTCATCAACGCATGATCAGCGAATTACAGTCTAGGAAAATGTGCAGACAACAAATCTATTTTTGACATTAAGATAGGAAGGAAGGGCACATCGAATAAAATCAAGAGAACGGTTTAATGATTGAATAAATAAGCAATGTCGATAAGAGAATAGCCAAATAGAAGTGAGATAACTAGGAGCAAGAGCCAAAACAGGTTTAAAATAGTGAGGTGCATAGTAAGAAAGATTAAGTAAAGTAATACGGTCATCCGTGAACCCGTCACCTTGGAACCCACTTCCATGCGGGGTAGTCCCTTGAGGAGCTTAATCCGAACCTTCACCCTCCATGTAGCCATGTGCTAGTGAGTCTTTAAAGCAGACTAGCTATCACCGATTTTACTATTCATTGGGGCTATTTGTTTCCTTTATTATAAGCTGGCCACTCAAGCCACCCAGCCCATTCGTCAACCATTGTTTTTGGTGCACATGACAACCAAATTCACCTGATTTAGCAATGTGCTACTAAATTTGAATTCAGCAGTTCACAGTGTTCTGCTGTCCTTGTTTTCTAGGTCTTGCACACTTTTTTTAATATTCATCAGGGGGTCTTTGGTTATCCGCCTTGCACTTGCAAAGGTTGGTTTGGGAGCTTCAAACCTCGGGAAATCGACCCAACCGTGACCAACAAAGAATGGAAGAACAAAGTAAAATAATATAAACTGAGAAAATAGAGGTAACAGTGAAATTAAATGATTAAACTAGTTAAACTTTAGCGCGTCTCGTGACAATGCAAGAGGCCGTCGTATTAGTTGGTATGCTGAATTTTTTAACATGTTAGGAGGTATGTGTTTCACAGAAATCTAGCACTTCTAGGCACCAGCGAAGCGGGGAGACTGTTATTCTCAATGCGTTGCAAATTTCTGGTTTGTTCACTGGAATTCCTTTTGAAAGCTAGATCCCACGGGATTACATAACGTTATTAACGATAATAAACGCAGAGTGGAGCCAGCATCGGGTTTAACTTGAAAGTCCTATTGCATCTCCGAACTGATGCATCAAAGGAACTGAAAGCAGTGTTGGTTAGCCGAGAGCGGATGAGCTTTATCTTATCACCGGTATGTGTAACTATTATTTTTGACCTCTTCAAGTGGTTGGAATACTAAATCACTTCTTAGCATACCCTATAGTTTATTGTGTCAGAAATAGTGCCGTAAATTTAACACGAGTGCAAGGGTGGTAAGCAAATTCAGCAAGCTTGGGTTGTCCTTTAAGTTATAAGGGACTGTTACATCCGGCGATGCAGTGCCCAAAAGTACAACGTTGCCTCACAGGGCTGTTCATGAACTTCACTCTTCCCTACCGCGATTGTGGTCCATGTGGGTAAGATTACTGATCATATGATGCGGCTTATCTGGCACACTCTTACCTCACCCTACACTGTCGGCTGTCTTACTTGTGTCGTGTGACTTTACGCTTGATCAATACAATGTCCGGTACGATGACACCTTTAGGCCCCACCAACCGTAGATATATCAGTTAGTTACGGAAATAGCTAGTTATTCATGCTTAAGCAAATTGTCACAACAACAGCAGGATTATAAATAATAGCAACCGTTGGCTTCGCTACAATAAGAACAAAGGCGAACATTCTTGTTCCTTCACTGACATCTGCGGTGAAAATGGAGCTGATTTCAACTGGAACGTTAACAAACGAAACGTAAAATGTCAACGATGTAAAGAACCGAATCACTTGCAACTTGCTCCAGGTGGTATGAAGCTATCTTTCTGTTTGACGTGATTACATTTGACGACGTGCACAGTGTGGTGCAAATGAACACTATCGGTACTGCAACGTTGTTCTGTCATGACAAGCTCAAACATTCGTATCTATGCGACACATGCATATTGTTGTCTCTGCTGACATATGGGACTTTCTGTCTGGCTTTTTGGCGACTGTCACCGTAGCTATTTTTACCCGTACTGTTACCGCAGCAGATCGCGCCACTATGTTAGGCGGTTGTATAGTGAGTTACATTCGGTGCTATATAAAAATACTATTACACTTAATTTCATACAAAATTGAATTTAATGCAAGGACTTATGTATTTTGCCATCGAATGCATCTGTTTTTCCGCCTGATGAATAAGTTTTCCTGGGCAACGCCTTATTATGACAGCTGAACTGAGAATCCTTTTGCTTGTACCACTGATGTCAGTCAACCACAGCCTGGACAGAGAATACTGACGAGTCGTTGCTTTTCCCGCATGTTATCTTACCATATTCACAGTTTTCTGCATAGTGTTGTTGCTACTTGGTAGGCCCTGATCCGTATATCAGCGGAAATTACGTCACGATGTGTGACTACGATTGGCAGTTCGCGATATCAAGCGCTGCAGCGAATTGCGAGCTGGATCACCACGAAGGTTGTCTCATAAATGGAAAGCATTTCGTAAAGTACTGAGGCGTCTCCGAGCACCGGATCATCAAGAGAGTGGAACAAGCTCCAACTCACTTACTCTATATCTTTTACCAACGAACGGGTACGTTTATGCGTGTCACTTGGCTTCCATCTGGCCGTGAGTGCTAACGCGTGTCCTGCTATTTGGCCTACGCATTTCGTGCGACTGAATGTGGTTTAGAGCGAGAAGTGAAAAAGAAAACGCACATTGCATATCCACCTACTAGTGTCGATGGATCTTTTGCGTTTTGATGTTTATTTAAAGCTGATTATCCTTCCAACTTTTCTTTTTCTTGACCAATAGTTCGTCAAAATCACTCGGACCGGGGAGAACCGCATCACCCGAGTTGACTTGCTCTCTGTGAGCTTCGCCCCTCTGATCCTTCCTCCGACAAATTCGTCCGCACTCGTGCGACCTCGTAAGTCACTTTTAGGCTCATGCTTTCATTGGCGACCGTCGTTTTTACTCGCACACATTCAACTCCATTGTCTCCATCTCTGAGAAGGATGTGCTTACGCCAAGATACCGACTGACGCACTAGTTGCATAGTCTTTCTGGCGACTCGGGAGACAGGAGTTCGTTTTACATAGTCACCACCCCATAGCACCTATATGGGTATGGAAAACCCTAATATGTTCAATATGTAAGCCGCAACTGACAATAGCATGATGGCAGATATCACATGCAGTGCTGTCTAAAGCTGACCGTCTCCACCGTCATTCAAACGTGCTTCGTCACCGTGTTGTCATCGTATTATACAACTTAGGGGTTATTACAAGTTCGCTCTTGTGCACATCTCCCTGCCTGTAATTTTACCCCATATTCATCCGCTGTATTGAGGCCCTGTGATTATGCGATACATAATGGTTGATTTCAAACTGAGTTTATGCATAGAGCACATTGCTTTACGACCCCGATCTAGCGTGGTACCAATAAATAACTAGCTCGATTGGTATTGAGGGTTGTCCGCTCGGAAACACAACACTCCACGATCTGTTTCAAATTTGTTTTATCGCATCAAGTAGAGACAACAAGCTCTCGAAGCCAGAGCCTTTGGGATGTCAGCCGAAACCTCTACCCCTGAACCACTGAGTCGAAACTGTTAATGACTGATTGGAGGTGTTGTGGCCTTATATGGATCGCGAATGTGCTGACCTCCAATCCCAAACGCTCTGCTCAAGACAGGTGTCGAAAGACGTTGAGAAAGAATATTCTCATCCGTGAAGGCAAAGCGTGCTACATAGGATACGATTACACTGGCGTATAAAGTCTTTCTACCAAATGACCTTGAAGCAGCCCGTGATAAAATGCCATTGGTTGATCCGGTATCACAACCATGAGACAAGCCAATCAGCTTCGAGCTATATAGCTGGACGTTGTGCTCAACCGATTTCGTTAGGGCTTGCGTCCCCTAACAGGAGGGGTTCTTTGAATCATTCGTCGTCTGTGTGGTGTGTGTCTGTGTGGAGTACGAACTGCATTCTTAATGTGGACCACTCTTCGCATCGAGGGGAACCTTGGTCACCTCTGTCAATGGGATTATAACTGAATAGATGGCTATTAGTTGTTACTCGCCTGAATACGATGCACTCTACGACCGGTTTCGCACTTGTTTAATTTCCTCAGATAGATATTAGTAGGCCTTTCACGATGAAACCACCAGGCTTCGCAGTCTCTCTTCAGACAAGCTCGGAGTTTTGGCCTGAGATCATTGCGAGTCTCACTGTATTCGCTTCCAGCCGGAGCACGTAGGCGAGCATCCAGAAGTTCCAGAAACTGTGTAGAGACCCAGTATCACATGCAACATACCTGCTGCTAATAACATCCGGCGGATATACGACTAGTGATTTTAAACTCAGTTCAGTAAACGACTATTCATTTCGCTTACCAGCTTACTTTGATACGCATTCATAACCATCCCAAGTTGACAAGTAACTATGTGGTCCGAGCGTCGGTTCAGACGCCCGCCGTAACGCATCCGCAAGTCAGCACACACAAAAGCGTGATCGGAGTCCACGCTCTTGTTCCAAATTGAGCAACAGTTTTGGACACAGCGCGACGTGATCGATTTGCCTCCGAGGCTGGTGGGCACCACGTCATTTTTCTGCAAGTGTTGTGTCTGTGGTTTGTGCTCGCAAATCTGCACTTTCATCACGAGTCTGTGCGCGGTAGCCTTGAGAAACTCAGACAAACATTTGTGAGGTAGACGTTAGACTGCTATACCGCTTCATAGCACTTTGCTTATTGATTGGCATTCATCCACTGTATGTTTGAAAAATTAGCCTCTCTCCGACATGTTGCTTGCCAATAATCCCCTAAAGTTCTCGGTTCCCATCAGCACACACAATCTGGAAACGGTTGAGATGATACTTCTAGAGAGCCCCAGACCAAGGATATGCTGTGATTTCAGGAAATCCATCGCAGTCATGTGACCCAATCGCACTTAGTAGATGGAGCCAAGTGAAACCCTTCTAGCCTCACGAGGAGCAGCATTGACCTAGACCTTGGGGAAACTGGAACTGAACTGACGATTATGCTAAAATTATTTGTGGTCTAGAATAAAGTGGTGAACCTCGTTATGTTCATACATCTTGGGGCGCACGGATTGCAGACCAGCCCCCAGGAACGTGACCTCGGTGTGCTCATATAGAGTGACCTCAACTGTTCAAACCAGGCCGAGGTAGCTGCGTAAATAGGCAACCAGCACGTCGGCCTGCTGCGAAGGACATTCGAGAGATTTGACTTATCCCAATTATGCACAATTCCTCACGTTGAATACATTATCCAAACTTGGCAACCTTGGTTGAAACGATACCTACGGCCGTTAGAAGCATCACAACAAAGGGCAACAAAGAATGTCAAGGAACTACGTGGTTAATCTTGCTAGCTAAGGCTGAAGTTGCTTGGAGATTTCAGCGGACGCTACCGATGGCTGCGCAGCAATCTCATATTTACCAAATATTGAGCGATTCCAACCACGTATGCCACTATTTGCTGAAACTTATCCCCAACACCAAGTTCAGAGGTAACTGTTTGAAATTGAGTGAGAAATACAGGCGCCTAGTGTCAACGGAATTACTTTGCGCTTCGAGTTTGCCGACCCCAGAACTTTCTCCTAAACTCAGCTGTATCATCCCCTACTTCGGATATTTTCAAAAAAACGATTGAATGTTGCTCTTTGCTCCCAGCACTCCGTTACCTAAATTACGCCATTGCATTAGATTAATCATACTCTTCTACCGGATTTATGTGTCACATGGACCCAAGGAGGCGGATCGATCATATTTTATGTTTCTCACGCTCCACGTCAACAATCACTGAAGCAGTGCATTTCTGTATGCTTGCATTTGCTTTTATTTCACACTAACGTTATTTATCCACGCGTCTATCTCGGTAGATGACTCACCTACCTTTTCATTTCATTGTATTCACCTCAACTATCCAACGGGACGTGTCAAGGACTTGCTTTTATCTCATGGTAAATCATTATTCATTGTCCAGATGAACTTATAATGAGTCCAGAAGGATTACCCGCGGCTACGTAACCTAGGGGCTAGTTGCCAGTTCATCCTGGGACCGAGGCGCAATTCTGCTATCCATACCTGACGAGTACAGACTAGCACTAAACCACTTGTGGAGTGCAGTGTTGCGAATCGGCGTTTATCTTTTCCAGATACAGTCCCCCAATGACTGAACTGAGTGAGATTTACTGCAGAAAGTAAACCACGGTCGAGCCTTAGCTTAGGTATTTGAAATCCACTCACACTTGAACTGAACCCACGCTGATAGTACACACAGATGTTAATATTCTCATCGCGATTATCAATTGGGTTGTTAACGATTTATTTACAGTAAATCGACAACTGTGCATTGACAGTTTTATCTCATTTGTAAACAAATGAGAATTGCCATTATTACTGCTTGCCCGAATAAAAGCTATTTTTACTTGCTTTTGAAGACCGCTCCTAATGAAGTTCTCTACTCCATTCACGCTTAACATATCCATTCAAAAGTGTGACCCCGGAATTAAATGTTTGTCTGCTGTCGCATTCAAATATAGAACAAACTCTAGCAGAGACTCTGTTACGGTGGTATCTGGGCCAACAAACTTTTGATGGTTGGCAAGTTCGATCAGACCACATTTCAGTGTCCAACCGGGAGTGAATTTTTGGTGTGCCGGTTTCTTAAAATACGCAACGGTATCTCCATATCTCTCTGTATCAAAAGATACCACGGACCGAACAACAGTAAATGGAGGCTTGTCAGCAATGCAGTGTCTTCATCGACGCCTTTCCTTATCGTTCACTCGTTTTCATCATCAATGAAGCACGAGGAACCGCTCTCGCTGAACAGTGCACAGAAAAAGCGCGTAATTGTACTTGTAGCAGCTATTTTGGCAGATCACCGCATTGCACTGGAAGTAGTCTTGATCAGAGTAGCGTTGACCCTCAGGCATCTCCACCTATCATGCACTTCAAAAATGAGACAATAATAATAATAATAACAATAGAAATTCTCGGGTTTATGAGACGCCATTTTCGGCATGATCAAATGTTTCAATTTTTTCCGTATAATATTTACAGCATATTCCAAATGTCAGACAGAAACGTAACCATGTTTTTAACCTCCATTGTCGTCCAATTCAAAGCCTTGAATGGGCACGTAATAGTTCATGGCCTCCTAAGGCAGAGCTCCGTGTACGGACTGAACCATGCTTTCTTTTCTTTGGGTAATTGACGAGAAGGATGATAATAGAAATATTGAAGCGGAAATCATACTTATAGAACGTAGCATCTAATTTGGGCTAAATTTTTCTATACATTGTAGCATTATAAAAAGGAGTACCGAAAGACGGAGGTATTTATTCATTTTCAGTTCAGCATATGTACATGTGAGACGAAACAGATGGAGTGGGAGATTTATTTAGTGTGTGTGTGAGGATGATGTCCTTGGTATTTATCAACTGGCTCAGGCGTTGTGTTTTAACTGTACGCTGAGCGTAAACGGGTAAAGAGCGAAAATGCAAAATAAATGTTGGAAATAGGGATGAAAATGTTGGAAGCGACATCATTTGACTTCACCTTGCTGCCTGATACGTTCCCATGAGGCAACAAGGGAAGCATGCCCGAGTAAGAAAATAACGAATGGTAAAAGGGAGTAAAGCTGGATAGGTCCAGTCAGCGTTTCCTTCTCACTTCACACATTTTAGTACGGATTTAAGGTACGTGCGGTTGATTGTGTAGAATACGAAAAGACAAGATGATAAAAGGAAAGAGTGGAGAACACTTAACAAACTCCTCCAAGATGAGATATTTACATATCAGCACTGCAAGGACATGACTGAGCTGCCACGGATTGCGCCACATACAAAAAATGCAGGACTCTCGCAGCAATCCGAGATCACACTAGACGAGCATA